TTTGATTTTCTATTTTTTGGGGGGGGTAGAATGGAAAGAAAATAAATACTTGTTATTTTTTAATAAGTCTAGCTGTCTTCTAAGGTTTCTTTCTTGCTCCAAAACATTGATTCTTAAAAACTCAAAGAAAAATTAGTCAAATAAGCAAGTATTTATTTTTTTATCATTCAGTCATTTCAATCGCATCTGACTCTTTGTGACTTAATTTGTGGTTTTCTTGGCAAAGATAATGGAGTGGTTTGCCATTTCCTTCTCTGGCTCATTTTACAGATGAGAAAACTGAGGCAAACAGGGTGACATGATTTGCCCAGGGTCACACAGCTAGTAAGTGTCTGAGGTTGGATTTGAACTCGGGTCTTCCTGACTCCAGGTCTAGCACTCTATTCACTGTGTCACCTAGCTGCCAAGCATTGATCAAGTGCCTCCCGTGTGTCAAGTACTGTGCTAAGAATTGGTTACCATCCAGGAACATGCAAATATAGTGAGTTACACCACAACCATCTCTAGCCTCCAGAGGAACTTCTTGGGGGATTGGGGTGGGGAAAAGAATCAGAAAAAAACAAATCTCCTTGTCAACACCTAGAATTTTTCAGATGGAAAAGAACAAATGAAAGGTATCATGGTATAGTGGATAGGGAGCTAGCCTTAGAGCCAGGAAGATGTAGGATCAAGTCTCACCTCTGACTAATATTGACCATGTGACCCTAGGTGGTGCCATAGTGCACAGAGATGGGGCCTGGGGTCAGGAAGACTATTTTTCTGAGTTCAAATCCAGCCTCAGAGTTTGGTTTTTCTTTTTTTTTTTTCTTTTGCCTCTGTAAAATAAGCTGGAAAAGGAAATGGCAAACCACTCTGGTATCTTTGCCAAGAAAACCCCAAATGGGGTCACAGAGTCAGACATGACTGAACAGCAGAACATACCCTGGATAAGTCACTTAACCTCAAAGTGTTCTGGGCAGCCCTCTAAGGCTTGGCAGAAAAGGTGCCAACCTGCATTGGTAGAGGGAGTTTCCTCAGCTGGGAATGCCCTGCACCAATAAAATCATAGGTCCAATCCCTATCCCTAAAAAAGACAAAGGGAGCTCTGAGGTCTATCCTCCCCCAACCCCTCGCTCTCCAAGCAAGCTAATGCACTTGACTGGCCATCCATCTATCGCAGCTCTTCAGATTAAAAAGCATCCTCAGAAATCTGATCTTTTAGCAACTGATTAAGAATCTTTCCACGGCTGGAAATTATCTGTGTTTTGACCAGCAACACAAGTACACTACTCCTGATTCATTAAGGAACATTAAAAAATAACAACAAACCAAGCCCTGAGGAGTGGCTGTGGATGGATGGTAATTTAATTTAAAAGATACATCCTGATTACAGGGCCAGGGGAAGGGGAGAGAATGGTGCTGAGAAGAGGAAAAAAATTAAAACCCTACTGCCAAGATAGCTTTATTTGAGATCAGAGGGATTAACTCAGCAGTGGAGCACCTCACAGTTACCTAAATCACTGGGGCATTTGTATGTTTGTGTGTCATTGAATCGGTACAGTGGTCACCTCATTATTCATCTTTCAATGCTAGTTCAGTTTGGGAGGGATCAAGGTATTACGTAGGATCAATGGTCGATCACTGAGGCACTTTGCCACGATTTTAATTCACCTTCCCTCTGCTCTGTACAGAATTTGGCTCTTCCAAATCAAGATCAAGCTCTCTGAAAAGGAGGAGGCCTGTTGGAGGAGTCTGATGTGATCTGAAAGCCAGAAAATTAGCCATATCTGGCAGCTCTTGGGGCATCGAAGGGACAGACAGACCTTGAATATGCAACAGGCTCTTTTGCATGTAGGACAGTTAGGTGGTACAACGGATAAAGCACTGGAAATGGAGCCAGGAAGGCTGGAGTTCAAATCCAGCCCCAGACACTTCCTCTAGCTGTGTGACCTTGGGCAAGTCACTTAACTTTGCTTGCCTCAGTTTCTTCATCTGTAAAATGAACTGGAGAAGGAAATGGCAAACCACTCCAGTATCTTTGCTAAGAAAACCCCAAATGGGATAACAAAGAGTAGGACATGACTAAAAAATGACTGAATAACAAACTTCTGTGTGTGGGAGCACAGGGAATTTCTAGCCAAGCTTGGGCTCCTTCTAAGTCGGCTCAAATTTCCCCGCTTCATGTATGCAGGTTGGGGTGAATTAGGCCAGAGGCCTCCTCACTCCTCACCAGTCATTAGGGTTACACTAAGAAGTAGTGTGGGTATGATGGGAAGATCATTAAATTAAGAGTCAGAGGGCTAAATTCAAACTTCATTTCTGCTGCTTACTACTTGTGTGACTTTAGGTATTCTGATACATTCTGGGCTTCAGTTCCCTAATCTATTTAATAAGGGTATTGAACTAGGTGACCGCTAAAAATCTCTTTCAGTTTGGACCCCATAAGCCTGCGTTTCCCCACTTGTCACAAAGATGGAGAGTAGAGGCCACACCACATCAGGCTTTGGGTATCAAGTATCCACAAAGCCGACGAACCTCACCGTAACATCATTCCATCACCTCTGCTCTTTTGGAAAGCACTGCTCCTCATAAAAAATTAGGTTTTCCCAGAGCCATTTAGTCAGTTAATAATATTTATCAAGCACCTGCTATGTGCCAGGCACTGGGAGAACAGTATTAGGCAGTATAAAATTCTATGCAAGCACTAGAGGCTATTATTAATAATAGTATAGCAATAATGAAGCAGGGCTGATACCCACGTCAACCAGGAGATATTTTGTCTCTCTGTGCTTCCTTGCTCCATTCCCCTCATACCTACTCAGAGGACTCAAGGAAATGTGGGAGGTTCAGATGAGGGTAGAACAAACAACTAGAGGACCAGAAAAGTACAGTGAAGGAATAGAGGGGACATCCCCAGTGGTAGATTCTGGGTAGGGGCATGGAATGTAGACGGCTGCTAACACAGTCTTGTTAGTTCTCCCACACTCCCAGGCAGGTGTGGATATCATTGCTGGAAACACCGACCAGGCTATAAGAACACTGGACTGCCTATGCTTCCAACAAAAACAAAACAAAACAAACAAGAAAAAAAAGTAGCCACATTTATACAGTGTCCCAAAAGTCTTAGTGCAGTGTTCGGCTAGCAAAGCTTCAAGTTTTAAGCTTTGCACTGCAGTCAGACTTTTGGGACACCCCGAATTTGTCGAATGATTCCTTTGCAAGTTAAATGCCTGCAAGAGTCTATCCCTCTGAGAAAATCTGCAGCAGGTCTCCCTTTCCCCTTGACGTAAGCGGCTGTGGCTTGAATTCTAAGGGAAACCCTAGCTTCAAAACACATCCACCTTAAGGGCTGGTGGTTATAGGGAAACTATACTTCTGGGCAAAAGCTGCTTTTGTTTTTATTTATTTATTTTTTGCACGTGAGATTATGATTCAATTGGCGAAGAGAACTCCCAGTGTGGAAACCCCCTTCAAATGCAAATGACAAGTCATCTGTATCTTCTAGTCTTAGTTTCCTGGGGAAATGAGGGGCTAAGTTCCCTTGGTAGAGTACTGCGTTACAGGCAACTGAGAGCACGATTGATTGAAGCATAAACAGCAAAACATGGTGGCTGAGGCCACTACATCCTACAGCATCCTTCAGGCCAATTAGCATCCTAACCAGGACTGCTTATTTTCCATGGGCCATAAGGCAAGGCTCTTAATGACATCTTTCCCAAAGGGCAGGTAGAGAGTCTGTTAAACTCTTGTTATCAACTGACTCCACCTGGGTAGGATCTGGCACTAATGTTCAAGCACCTTTTGAAGATGTTTCTTACACTAAATCATCATAAACTGCTCTGGGGAATGAACTCTTCAGAAAAGGAAGCTCATCAGAAATTTGTATCAGATGGGTAAGTCAGATCTCCTGAGATCCAATCCATTTCTCTAGCCATGATGTTGGCTGCCATGATGCCTGTGCACATCTTGTTCATGAACCATAGATACAAATCAAGGACCAAAACAACCAGGATCAATCCAAGAAAGAATGATAGAGCATTAGGAGATTTCATAGTGCACTGGAAAGAGTCCAAGTTCTAGAGTCAGAAGTAGTAGTAGTAGTAGTAGTTGTTGTTGTTATTGAGTCATGTCCAACTTTTTGTGACCCCACGGACCATGACATGCCAGGCCCTTCTAGCCTCCACTGTCTCTCAAAGTCTGTCCAAGTTCATGTTCATTGCTTCCAAGACACTATCTATTCATCTCATCCTATGCCATCCCCTTCTCCTTTTGCCATCAATCTTTCCCAACATCAGGGTCAGAAGACCAGGGTTCAAATAGTACTTCTGAGGTTTACCATCTATGTGACGGTGTGACCTTGGATAAATCACTTAACCTCCCTAGGCCTGTTTCCTCATCTGTAAAGTGAGGAAGTCAGAATATATAGCCTCTGAGAATCCTCTGAGTTCTAGTTCTACGACCCCAGAATATCCCTCGGCTTAAAAAGCAACTACTGTACCTGCAAGGGCAAATATATAACAGGGGTCAAGAGGTGAGGTTTAGGGGAGGCCAAGCAGATGAAAAACTCTGACCATCCTAAGGACTGGTGATCTCTCCTGGTCTTTCATAAAAAGGGAAATGAGGTTGGCTCAAGACAACCAGAAGGGAAAGGGTAGAAGACAGGGAACTGCCACTCTGTCAATTACCAAAACATGCCCACAGGTTATCCATGGGGGAGGCTTCAGATAGCCAGCTAGGAGCTGTGAACACAGGTAGCAATCCAGGCTTCCCAATCAGAAAGCAAAAGGCAGCCAGATGACACCAATGTCAAACCAATTAGTGACTTAATAATGCATAGTGATAAAATGAGACATCCCTTTTAAAGGGGGAGGACCGCAGAGAGGGAGACTAGAACACAAAACCACATAGTGACATTTTTTCCCCTTATCTAACTCATTGCAGCAAGGTGAGGGGAGCCTCTGGGCAGCAGAATGTCCTGCCAGCAAAAGAGATTATTTCCAGTTGAGAACTCTATTCCTTACCTGCAGAATAGGGCTCTTGCTTCTCCGCATAAATGAATTCCTTCCTTTCATACTTGGCTCGGATCCACTGTTCTCGGAGGAGTCTGCAAGACAGAGAGAGGAGAGGCAAGGTCTGGGTGCTGAACAGAAAGCTGTGATCATTAATTCGACAAGGAAGATGGCAGCTGAGAGCACAAGTTTCTGGAAAATGAATTTGCAGGTCAGTGGCTCTCAGGAAGCCCCCTGACCTCAAAAGACTTGGAGATGTTGCCTTTTGAGTACTGACAAAACCATCGCCGTAAACCATATGGAAAAAAGAAGCCTTAATCAAAATTCATTTTAACAACCTCATCCACTCCCAGAGTACACTCAGCAGAGGAGTTAGCTACTCTCTGTGCAAACTGCCCACGGCTGTGTTTAGAGCTTCCCAATGTAAATATTTTTGATTCTAAACAATTAGGCTCAAAATGACATAGCCTCCAACCTCTGAATGGATAAGAATGGAATTATTAAACAGAGGGGAATGGATGCTGAGAAGGGTGACAGGGTCCCTGATATGAGCAAGTCAGCAGCGAAAACAAAAGGCAGAGACCAGGCAAGCCCAGGTTTTTTCATGTTAATGGAGTTTTGCCCTTTTATTCAAGATTTATGAGTAGCTTTCTCACTTGAACGCTGAAGTGCTAATTTTTAAGACACTAGTACATGGAGATGAGATGTTTATGATTTTTGAAGGTCTGGCAGAGGATAGCAAGTGTGAGATTGGCCCCCAACTCTTTTCTGCCCATGCCAACCTATACCATCCATACTCAAATGGATCTGTGAGCTTTTCCATAGTAATATTCCTTCCAATGATGCAGATGGCACCCCATCCCTGCCTTCTTAGCCTGTGTGATTCTTAACTATATTCTCCCATAAATCTTCCTACAATAATAGGAACATTGAGTCATAGAACTAGAGCTGGAAAGAACCTCAAAGGCATCCAAATCCATCATTTTACTTACATACAAGGAAATTGAGGCTTAGGGAAGTTTAATCACTTGCCCTTGGCCAAGGAACTACTAAACGTCAGAGGCAGAATTTGAATACAGGTCCTTCTTGACTTCAGGTCAGGTACTCTTCCTCACACCAACATGGAGGATTATTCTAAGTCAATTCAATGAGCATTTATTTTTTTAAGCACCTGTACTGTGTTCCTATCATGGTTACTACTTGGCATCTGGGCATACAAATGGAAAGCCACGGCACAGGTATCAGAGCTCAGACACGAGCCTACTCCATTTGTTTTCTCTGAGGAATGTGGCTCTTTCCCTCATTCTGATTATATAGTGAGTCATCTTAAGTTGGTGTGGGAGGAAATGAGCTTTCACCAAGTGGTTGCCTGACCATGCTCCAGGTCTGGAGATGAGCATAAAACCTGTGGTCATTCCTGACTGTTGCTAAAGCTTCTGGAGAAAAAAGCTCTCTCCAGGACTAGTTAACATGAGGAGGGAATCCAAGCACCCCGATGGACTTTTGCTGCTTGGATAATGGAGGGAATTCCCAGTGATTTCAGGCTTTTCTTCCTGCCAACTTTCACAATCAGTAGATTACCTGCTTCGGTGTACAACATCCCTTAGGCCATTTTAAGAGGGATGTTCAGAAACTTTGGGCAAAGGTCTAAAGAAGCAAAAATAGAAATGATTAATAGTATGAGAGGCAAGATTTATGAGGGAAAGTTAAATAACCTATGTGCTTTTGATCCAGAGAGGATAAGACATATAAAGGGTAGATGTATAGAGGGTTACTATGAGAAGAGTGATGACTCTATTTCTCTACCTGTTGAAAGACAGGGTTGAGTTAGATCAAGGGTACCCAAAATGGGGGTGGGGTATATGTACCCCATACATATGGGGAATGAGAAGCTTGTCAAAAGGGTAGAGGAATATTTGGTTGTGTTTCATAGCTCATAGATATAGACCTGGAAGGAACCATGAAGCCAATCAGGTCTAACTCCTTCATTTTACAGATGAGGAAAATGAGGCAGAAAGAGGTTAAGTGACTTGCTCACAGTCACACAGCTAGTAAGTATCTGAGACGATACTGATTCTAAGTAAAATGTTCTATCCAATAAAAAGTAAATAATTATATTGTCCTACTGAAATTAATATCCTTATTTTATTTTTATGGGCATATGCATGGTAAATTCTATCACTTATTTCCTTTCATACTGAAGAGGGGGTGTGAGAAGGTTTGCTGAAAGTCAGTGGATACAGGGACCAAAAATGGTTGGGAACTCTGGGTTAGAGGATCTCTAAGCCTGTTTTCAGGTCTGACTTTCAATGATTTTAACTAGTTCTCTATCTTCCTAAGGAAATGAAAAAGACTGACCTACTATCCCCACTTATCCAACTCCTGACTCTTTTTCTACTTCAAAGTCTATGTCAGACATCACCCTTCCGAGGAAGACATCCATGATCATTCTAGCTCACCCAGTTTTTTCTTCTTCTTTTTAACCTACTGAATATTTGTGGAATGAAGAAATGGATGAACTACAACATAAAACATTGAAGTTAGACTCTCAGAAGAACCTCCTAGTCCCTAGTTGTAAGGATGATCTCACACAGGGACAGAGCGCTAAGAGAAGACTGAAAACATACTCAACAACCACCTAGCTCATATGGTTTATGCCATGGATGTCCACTGTTTCGGGAGTAGCAACATCCTCTTATTTTGTTGTTTTTCAGTTGTTTTCGGTGATATCCAACTCTTTGTGACCCCATTTGGGGTTTTCTTGGCAAAGATATTGGAGTGGTTTGTGCCATTTCCTTCTCCAGCTCATTTTACAGATGAGGAAATGGAAGCAAAAAGAGTTAAGTGACTTGCCCAGGGTCAACACAGCTGGAAAATGTCTGAGGCCAGATTTGAACTCAGGAAGAGAAGTCTTCTGGACTCTAAGCCTAACACTCTATCCACTGTGCCACCTAGCTGCTCCACCTTCTTGTTAGTTTGGTTTTATAAGACCTACACATCCCCTCAAGAGCCATATAGCATTTTTTGTCAGATTAAAGTAAACTAAAATTTAAAAAATTTTAGTGGGTGGTATGACACCACCTGAAATAATAAGACACACCATGGGGAGATGCAAAATCCAGAATTTGGAGACACTCTGTGACTTTCTACCTTCCTGAAGGCAAGCAAGGGCTGTTTCTATAGCTTATTCTACAGTTATCAAGAATGTAGAAAGAGCAAGAAGCTATCTTTCCAATAGCAGTATACATTGTGCAATCTATGTCTCTTCCTCCAGAAATAAGGGCAATGTTCTCTTTCATGGGTAGCAAAGGGCATGAGGTGCTGACAAATGTTCTTTTGGGTTTGGAGGGGTTGGTGAGTGAAGGAAGAGGGCAACCACCTATATTCAAAATATTATAGCTTCAGGAAGTCTTGTGGAAAACACTTGAAAACAGTTCTCACTTGCAGGTGAGTAAAAAGAAATGTAGATGTCATGGGAAGAACAATGATTTGGGAGTCAGGAGTCCTGACTGCCACTAATTTGCTGTGTGACTCTGGCCAAGCCATTTAATTCCACAGAACTCAGTTTCCTCAACTGTAAAATGGGGATAATGATGATAACCATAGCACTTGAAGGCTCACAACAACTTTTCTTACAACAAACATGAGGGAGAAACTATAGGCATTATTCCCATTTTAATGATGATAAAATTGAGTCCCAGGTAAAGGGATTTGTCCATGATCATCAAGTTAGTTAAGGGCATAGACAGCATTTAAACTCAGGTTTCCTGACTCTAAGTTCAAGACTTTCCACTTTATCAGACCACTTGCCCTCCTTTTCTCGCAGAGTTGTTTTGAAGGTCAAATGAGAAGTGTGTGTCTTCGATTGCTGTAGAAGGTAGTCCAGGAGAAGCCCGTAAGGCCCTCCCGAATCTCCCTTGTGTCTATTAAATTCCCTTTCTCTTTCATAACACGACCTGTCATGGGCCAGTATGCTCTTTTTGCCCTTTTAATAACATATTCGGAATGGCTAATTCACAACTGGCTCCTACATCTGGGCGACACCCTTGTGATTTGCATCTTAAAAGAAGAACAGAGACAGAAACAGACTACAGGGGAAATAGAAACACAGAGTGAAGGGTGGCACTGAGACTTGGATTCAATTCTTTAGAGGGGATGCCTACACACGTGAACAGCTCCAGACATGGAAGGCAAACCAAAGGAACAACAATGGACATAGCCACATCCTGGAGAAATAACTCTAGATTTCAGCCTAGTGAAGGCTAAAAGTACTAGTGAAGTACTATGAGTTATGGGGACAGTGTAGGACCAAGGAAGGAGGTAGATTCTTTAGCAACTTTAAATTCTTTCCTCTTGAAGTGGGAGATAGGGTGGGGAGGAGGATGGAAGGTCTAGAGATTGCATAAGGTTCTTTAGAGAAATGGGGAGGAAAGGGAGTTAGTTGCCTTGACTGTTTAAAGGATTGGGAGCAAGTCCTCTGTCTTTTTTTTTTTCCTGATAGGTTAAATAAAACCTATCCTAAATTCAATCTTTTCTTAACCCAACTACTTGCATGGAAGTGAAGATCCTTTTCTCTTTACTTATTGATTGGTAGATTGATTATGGAGACCTAGACATGAGATAAAATTCTGATGACCCTTGGGGAAACCCAGAATGTGCACAATGGTTACTGAAAAGCTCCCCAAAGTGAAACTGGTCCCCATAAACCTAGCATTTCAGTTTCAGGTTGTGAGTTACACGGGCACTAAACTCTACAATCTGGCTGCAATTTACCTTTTCTCTTACTTCATTACACACACTATGTTCTAGCCAAACTGGACTCCCAGTTCTTCCTTGAATTTGCCCCACCATCTCACCTTTATGCACCGACAAGGGTCATCCCCTATGACTGGAATGCACTCCCTTTCATCTCTACTTTCAGAATCCTTCTCTTACTTCAAGGTTCAGTGCCATCTCCTTCCCAGATGTCTCCCACTGAAAGTGTGCTCTCTCATTTCCAATTTTTCTAAAGTGCTTTGTCTGGCACTCTCTCCTTTATGACCTTCATTCTATACCTTGCATTATACTTATCTGAGTTTATTTTGCAACCCTCCCC